TAATTTGAGTTTGCTGCATGATTGTTGCGTTTAATTGCCTGTTTTATCAGTCACTGCTGTTGAAGTTATTGCTTCAATAACTGTACCACTAATGTGGCCACACCTTTAAATAATCTAACACTGTCAAATAGGCTGTCTCAATTAGATGTTAGGTGATCTAAGGAACATATGTTTTAATAATTCTAAAGTTTTATGTGTGTGTTTATAAGTATCAACTGTTATAAGTTTATTTAAGAAATAGGTAAGGTTATATATGGGTTTGTGAAAAGTGTGAGATATGTATTAATTCATTTTATTAATATAGCGGTGGCAAAGTAGAAATCAATAAATCTTGCTTCTAAGAGAAAATATTATAGAATATATATTTATATAGAAGTATATTTATTATTGTCATATGGTTACATGTACAAACTTGTCCACACATGATGTTTAGATGTACATATATCCACTATGCATATGTATATTTCTAAATTACGTTATGTGTGTGTTTATTTAGTATATTTGAGCATTATGGATTAGCCAAAAAAAGAAAAAACATGGAAAGATTAGAGAGGCATTCTCTCTCAAGTCAGGATGCTCATCAAGAGTAAAGGAGGATTGGGGCTAGAGCAATAGCACAGCAGGTAGGGCATTTGCCTTGCACGAGGCTGACCTGGGTTCAATTCCCATCATCCCATATGGTCCCCTGAGCACCACCAGGGGTAATTTCTGAGTACAGAGCCAGAAGTAACCCCTGTGCATCACCAGGTATGACCCAAAAAGCAAAAAAAAAATGAGTGAAGGAGGATTAAGTGCTAAGGTATTGGCACTTAGGGACTTGCTTGTGTTTAGTCAAGAGGAATGTTCTTAACACAACTGTTATGTCATACAGAGTTTATTTATGCAGTGCCAAGAGGAATGGGATGTGTCTTCTTTAACAGAGAAACTCACACGGTACTGAAGAGCCAGATTTTTTCTTTTTTTCTTTTTGGTTGTTTTGGGGTCAATACTGAGTGCTCAGTGGTTAGTCCTGAATCTGCATCCAGGGATCATTCCTGGAAGTGCTCTGGGGACCATATGGATTGTTGGTGATAGAACTGGAACTCGTCATGTGCAAGGCAGACACTCAATACACTACTCTTGCTCTGACCATAAGCGTCAGACTTTTCTCAAAGATATTGGAGTCAACATCCAAAACTTAGCATCTCTATTTTCAATTCATTTTTTTAAGTCGTGAATTTATGTCACCATCTAAATCAAGCATTTGTCATGGTCATGGTCCTCCCGTTGTTCATCGATTTGCTTGAGCGGGCCCAGTAACATCTCCATCGTGAGACTTGTTGTTGCATATCAAATACATCATGGGGAGCTTGCCAGGCTTTGCCGTGCAGGCAAGATACTCTCGGTAGCTTGCCGGGCTCTCCGAGAGGGGTGGAGGAATCAAACTCGGATCGGCCATTTTGGCTGCATGCAAGGCAAATGCCCTACCGCTGTGTTATCGCTCCAGCCCTAAAATCAAGCATTTAATCAATGTTAACACTTTAATTGGAACTAGTTTTGTGCTCTTTGTTTCTTTCTAAAGGTAACCTCCTAGAGTCCCGAGATTATAATTACACTTTATAATTTCATACAGTTTTCAATTTAATTAATTCTTTTTATCTGTTATATTGCTTAGAAATCTTCACAGAGTGTCTTTGTCATCCAATTCAATAATTCCCAATAACTTAGAAATTATTCCAGAAACGGAATACACATTTTTCCTTTTTTTTCTGTTTGATAATTCTTTTTATTTATTGAATCACTGCGGGAAAAGTTACAAAGTTTTCAGGTTTAAGTCTCAGTCATGCAATGATCAAACACCCTTCCCTTCACCAGTACTTATTTTTCACCACCAAGAATCCCAATATATCCCCCTTCCCACCCCTCCCAATGCCTGTGAGACAGATGATTTCTACTTAACTCTGTCTCTACTTTGATTACATTCATTATTTGGACAAAAGACGCACCATTATTGTCTAGAATTTCCCCCCAACAATCAGAACTGCTGAAAAGGCATTGTGAAATACTTTGTTTTCTATAGCTAGTTATGAGAACCATATGATGTCGATTTTGGATTTCTGATATTTTACTAATTAAGTCTGGAGGGATTTCTGCCAAGAGTCAGATAATTATGAGATTGATTTCTGTGCATCTGGTGCTATGGCCGTGCCGGAAAGCCGCTCATTGGGGGCAACTTGTGATCTAGGTAGGGTGTGAAGGATGAGCTGGTACCACCCCCCCATCCCATGAGGCTACAGTTGCCCCATTACCACCAGCTCATACCTGGTTTTCCAATAAGCTCTGAGGTGACAGCCATCTTGCTGGGGGGAGGGGTGGAAAGGCGGAGGGGACAGACACCCTTTACCCCTGGGGAGGCATGGTGCCATAGTTTAATGCATAGTCCATTCACTTTTCTGCCATAAACTGCCGGGCTCTGGATTAAGTCCTTGTACCTCTGGAGCCATGACCGTGCCGGAATATACACAGTTTTATGCTCACGAACTAGAAGTAAAACAAGAAAGAAAGTGTCATCTGTGTCAGAGATATCCTTGAACAACCAGGCTTACATATACTTTAATCATTGTCTTCTGTTGCATCAGTAATTTCACAACAGTGTGAGAAAAGTAGTTTATGTAAGTATTTGTAAAGAGAAATGTGTTTGATATTTGCATGACCGAGACTTAAACCTGAAAGCTTTGTAACTTTTCCCACAGTGATTCAATAAATAAATAAATAAAGTGTTTCATTGAAGTACAGCTCAAATGTGGCTAAGTGTCTATATCTAAATGTATAGAACAGCTCGTTAAAATCTTACCTTTATATTCCATTTAGCTACCACCCAGATACAGTTCTAGAACATTTCCAGCATATCACTGTCTCTATCTGAAACTATGTGTCATAAATTGTGCATTTAATGGGACGGGTTCACTCTTAAATGTGTTTACATTGTTCTAATGTAAATCAGTGTATATTTTAAGAAGTCAAAATTACCTTAAGAGATTAAAATTTTGAAATATCTGAAGGGATCTTATTTGGGGATTTAGGGTCACAGCCAGTGGTTCTCAGGGGTGCTTCATGGCTGTGTATTCAGAGAGTATCCTGTGTGCTCAATCTCAGGGGACCGTGTGTGGTGCCAGGAATTTTAACCATGGTCACAGCTGTTACAGTTACATGCGAGGCAGCTAGCTTACCTCTTAGAAGATGTCTGTGGCCCCTGAACCTTTTTTAAAAAATGTTAATTTGTTGGTTTTTATTGATTGTTGCAAAAGTTATATAACATTTGATGCTATATTAATTTATCTTTTCTTATTCTGGAGACCATCCTCAGCAGTACATGAAGCAGCCCTGGGGTGTCCTTTTAGGGCCGTGCACATGGAAATCCTGTGCTCTACTATTTGACTGTGTCACAGCCCTACTTTTATTTAACTTTCACAATCACAAAATCACAAATCATCCTGTTATTCGTCGATTGCCTCGAGCAGGCCCCAGTAACGTCTCCTTCATCCTAACCCTGAGATTATATTCAAGGTTCTTTAGGAGAATGAGACCCATCATTGTTACTGGTATTTGGCATATTTGGTAGGCCACGGGGAGTTTGCCAGACTCTGCCAGGTGGGCAGGCTACATTCGGTAGCCTGCCAGTTTGTCCAAAGTAGGAATGAGATAATAAGATGTCATAATAAGATGTAAAAACCAGGAGCTGGTTTTTATAGTCTCTGAGTCTTGGCCGTTGATGGGATTACACGGCGCCAGGGGGCCAGTTGGTGGGTGTGACCCCTGCCTACTGGAATTTGGAGGATCTGGGTGGAGGATGCTCGGCCCTGATCTGAGTAGGCTTGGAGATCTCGGCCCCGGAACCCGTGTGGCTTTGTCCCTCTGCCAGTACCTTCATGTGTGCGGAGAGTGGTCTCAGCATGGTGGTGGCTGGTCCTGGAGGTCTTCGGCTTCCGGAGCCCTGGTCGGGGTGGGGAGGAAAGCTCAACCTGCTTCCCTCCAAGGGGCCCCGGCGAGGACAGCCAGGTGCAGGGGCAGGAGACTGCACTGTTTTCTTGAACACTGCCAGGTGTGAACAGCTCCAAGCACCAAGTAGGCAATAGCTCCAGAGCACTGCAGGGTCTGATCACTGTTAATCACTTTGATGTAGGTGGACCCCACGGGTGGCTCACATGAGTCAGGAGGAGAGAAAGACGATCACTCTCTCTCACTCCGCCTCTGCCACCCAAGAGTCCCTGGGTAGGCTAGGACCGGTAAAGTCTGCAGTGAGCCCCTGCTCGGCACGGGCCTAAGCCCCGCCAGCCCCACAAGGTGGCTGTCTAGCCACACCTGAAGTCCGCTTGGTCTTCTCGGCACAGGAGTTAATCCCCGCCATCCGATTGCTCGGGGAGCCACGGATTCAAGTTGGGGCGAGAATTATTTAACTTAGTTAAATAATTTAACTTTAGTTAAAATAAATAGACAAAAGCTCCAAGTTTACATAGCTGAAATTCACCTTGTGATGATATGAATTCACCACTGAGTTTACCACTCCAAGTCCAGTTCTGTCCTGTGCCAGGCACTGCACCCTTGTTTGGCTTACTCTATTCTGCTCCCCCACTTTCCCTTCCATTTTGGTAACAACTAGGCTTAAATTTGAAAGCTCAGTTTGTTTTATTGAATTCATTTGTTTGATTTTGCTCTCTACCACTGGATATGAGTGAAATAATGGAGTATTTGACCTTCTCCATTTGACTGTTTCTCTAAGAATAATACTCTTGAAGTCCAATTTTGTTGATGCAAATGGTGAAATACACAGACAGACAGACAGACAGACAGACACACACACACACACACACCATTCTTCTGTGGCCATTCATCAGTCTCCTGACAATTAGGTTATTTACATGTCATGGCTATTATAATTAGGGATTCAGTAAATGTGGGAGTGGATAAAGCTCTATGAATTTTTTATTTTTCAGGAAGAATCAGGAACTTGAGTCTGGCACCTTAGACCAATCAGATTAGGGTATTGCAAGTCCTAATCAATTACAAGTGTTAATCACAAATCATGCAAACTCCAAGGATCATGTTCTCCTGTCCTCTGAACAGAGGAACACATAAGGATTATTCTACCTGATGATGAATTAAGAGTTAAAAATATTTTGGATTCATTATGCCAAAGTATAATCACGATCACGATCTTGACCATCCTGTTGTTCATCGATTGCCTCGAGCAGGCCCCAGTAACTTCTCCTTCGTCCTAGTCCTGAGATATTTTAAAAAGTGCCATATTCAAGGATCTTTCAGAGTTAGGAGAATGAGACCCATCATTTGGACAAACTGGCAGGCTACCAAATGTAACCTGCCCACACGGCAGAGTCTGGCAAACTCCCCGTGGCATACCCATTATGCCAAATACCAGTAACAATGATGGGCCAAAGTATAATAGCTAAATGAATTATAGGAATATATATATATATCACAATATTCTCGTGAGTGTAACTTTTATCCAAAACAAGTGTTGGTGAGAATGTGGGAAGGAGAGAACCCTTGTACATGGTGTTATACAGGTGATGGAGATTGGTGCAGCCATTATGGAAAGCTGTACGAAGATTCTTCCAAAAAAAAAATCGCTGTTTTAAATGATCCTTTCTCTTATGCTTCCTGTTTCTCATCTCCCCGATCCTCTACATAATTTTGGTGATTATAACTTGGGGAACCAAAGGTTAAAATTGTTATTACCAATCTCTTGATTTTTTAGTCAATTTTTCAAATTTTCTAACTGAATTTCAAAAAAAATTTAGTTGTAATAAGGTCTTTCCCAATTTGGAAATTGACACAGTTTTTCTTGCATTTTTGTTACTGACTTAGATGGGTGGGAGTTTCCCCAATGGCGGCCATATTTCTCTGTGTTGCTCCCCAGGTCAAAGCCAGGGTGAAATGGGACAATCCTGGAGATAGGATTCCAGGGAATGAGATTAGAGACCCACAGGTAGGATGGGGATATGAGAAGAAGACAGTTTGTGAAGGGGAGAAGCATGTTTAGAAAAAAAATTTAGAAATACTGATTTCTAAATTTAGACCATTACTAAAATCTTGAATAAAAATGATTGTGGACAGCTATCTCTTTATTTCTGAAGTTAAAGGAAATTCTTTGAACATTCCTTTATTTTCATGATCTATGCTGAACTTCTTTTGCTTCTGGGGCCACATCTGATTGAGTTCAGGGTTCGAATATGACTGTGTGCTCAGAAATCGCTCCTCTTGGCCATGTGCCTGTAGGTCGTGAAAGGGGCCAGGAATGGGTTGGCCTGGGCAAGGCAGGCACCCTAGCTGCCATAGTATTGCCCTAGACATTAATTTTTTTTAAATATAATCCTTACATTTTTTTCAGAAATTAAAAACAAAACCGACAGTGAGGGCATGATAAGAAGCTTTGAGGACCCCCCTTCCAGGAGAGGGCTGGGGGGATGGGGAGGAATGAGGAGGAAACTAAAGTCAGTCAGCAGATCTCATGGGGGCTTCCCGGCTCCCCAAGCAGCCCAGCCCTGGGCCTGGTGCCTTCCTACTGCATCCAGGAGGAAGTCGAAGGCTGCCTTCTGTGTGGGAAGACTAGCTCTGAGGATAACCACTTAATGAAAGAGAAAAAATGCTTTCACTAGAACACCAGTAATCTCACATGACACACCTATATACAACATGCATAAATTATATTGATAAATTGTTAATTTAATTCATAGCCATGGAATCTATTCCTGGCAGAAGAATCTTTTTTGTTTTTGTGGCAGTGAGCATGTGGAAATTGGGGTTCCTAAGAACCATGCCCAGGCTGTACTGAGAGGCGTTGGTGTGTGTTGTTTTGATGCTATTGGATGAGTCCAACTAGAAGCAAAACTCAAGTGGCTGAAGACAAGTGGCAGGGCTCCTAGATCAGAGAGAATTTGCATTAAAGGAACCAGAGGTCTGGAGGCACCCAAAGTCCCTTCCCAAAGGGCCCCAGAAGTACCTGTGTGACATTCATTCCATGCCTAGTTTGGGGGTTCACGTGGTAACTGTCTCCCTTTCTCTCATCTGACCTTTGACTCCTTCCTGGTGAGGTGGGGAGGAATCCTGTAGGGAGAGAGTTGACAGGAACAGATGCCAGCTGTACCTGCCCCTCAAGGCAGCACTGGCGGTAATGGTACAGCAGGAGGAAGAAGGAAGAAGCATTGCCTTTGGAAAGACTTAGGGGGTCTCATCATTGCACTGAATTTGAGAGTTTCTGCATGAAACGAGTCTGCAAATACATGGTAGTTTCCATTACTAATAATTAATAATAATGTATTAATACAATTTCTATATGTTTTGTATGTGTCGTATGAGACAATTGGTGAGAGCATTTTTTCCTCTTCTATTAAGTGGTTATTCTTTCATTTTTTAGAATCCATGCCCATGTGTGCATATCTCTACCATCTTCCTAATACCGGGATGTTAAAAATGAAAATTTCTAGTACATTCTCTATGGTTTGTTTCAGCAAAATGTTAAAATCATCCTCCAGGTTAATTTTTACCTTTTCATAGCTCTTGCGTTTCCACTTTTTAAAAACAGCTTCTCCCATACTGATATCATGCTAATTATTTTTAGGTTTGTTTTTATATTTTCATTTCCAATCTTTAGATTATTGATTCTTCTGTAAAAATAGTCTCCTCGTTGAGTATATATTTTCTTTCAAATATATGATCTGGGATTTCCAAATATGTGTGCTGCATTTACTGTATATTTGATGTATACATCATGCTATTTCTAGTTACTTTATTTATTCTATTGCTCCTTTTTATGTTGCATAATACTTATATTTGTCTGGAAATCCTTATTTTTAATATTTTTCATGTTTTGCTGCAAATCCTTGTAGATTTCAACTTCCCTATAACATTTAAAATAATATATAAAATTTAATATAAAGATCCAAAAAGAATTAAAGTTTTGACTGAAGTTTTATTAGATTTATATATTAACTTTGGATATGTGCATGTTTTTATTTACTTTTGCCATTCTGGATACAGGCCATCTTGCCATCTTTCTATTCATTTGCTTTTTGCTCTCTGTACTTCTAATTTATTTTTCCTCATGACTCCTTCACTTTTGTCATTATTATTGAATTCATTTCCTTATTCTGTATAGAGGTTATTGCTCTTGCAATGAAACTGTCCACAAGTAGCAATTTGGTCCTCCAGACTCCAGGAAGCAAGCGTTAGAGAAACATCAGTCATTATGAGCTTAGGAAAAGGCCAACAACAGGTGACAGTCTATTTTGAGCAGCTTGGTAGGTATTGAGTCATTGTGATACCATAATGTTATAATTCCTTCAACAAAGCTTTACAGGATTGTCATTATTAAGTTCCAGCATACTATACTCAACAAAACTGCAATGATTAAAAAAAAACTCCTTGGATTTAAAAAATTTATACTGTAGTAAGAAAGAGAGTAAGCAAGAGCAGTAAATAATATATACTATGTTAAATAATGCTTAAAATGAAGAAGAAAAATAATTGCCAGAAAGGAGATAGGAAGTGATGGGTGGACTGGAGATTTAGGCAGGGTGCACCATCTACAGAGAAGAGCATTGAAGAGAGAAGTGAGACAGTCTAGGTCTTAGGCACAGAGCTAGGCAATTCGAGCTGAGATTGCTTTTATTCAAGTGAGATGGAAAGTCAGAAAAGATTTAGTAGTATCGTGAAATGGGCTCGGTTAACTGTGTTCTTTTCACTCTGGGGTGAGACTAAACAAAGGGCAGTAGCTCTTACCCTGGTAAGAGATGGCAGCGGGGGTGATGGGAAGTGATAAATTCTGGAGTTATTTTGAAGGAATAGCTGGCTGAACAAACAGGAAAGATTTGCTAGCTGAACGAACATGAGTGTGAAAGAAGTGGAAGAGTCAGGACTGACACCACTTATTTTTGTCTGGATGCCTGGATGGTGGATACCAGGAAGAAATAGACTTGGGCAGGGACTAGGGTTAGGAGCTCCATTCTGTATGCACCATTCAAAAACATGCTTATCAGCAACTGAGGTAGCTGCAGTGTTAATGGTTGTTGAGTGTGAATATAGGGAAAGGAGAGACAACACAGATATTGAAACCTTGGTAACATGGCTGATCCCCACAACCATGAAATTGGAGTTTACCTACCAAGTTCTACATGGCAGAGCCTGGCAAGCTACCTGTGGCGTATTCAATATGCCAAAAACAGTAACAACAATGAGCCTCATTCCCCTGACCCTGAAAGAACCTCCAATACAGCAGCATTGGGAAAGATGAGTAAGAAGAGGCTACTAAAATCTCAGAGCTGGGAAGAATGAGCTGTTACTGGTGCCCACTAGAGTAAATCGATGAACAATGGGATAACAGTGATACAGTGATATGGTGATACCTGCCAAGTTGGAAAGAATAGAGAAGAGAACCAAGGGCTGGCACTTGGACTTCAAGGCACCAGGTGAGAGAGGATAATTTAACAAAAAAGACTGAGATGGGAAAAGGCAGGTAGAAGAAATACCAGCCCCAGATGTTATGCTGTAAGCTGAAGTGAGGCAGTGGCAGCAGAACTACTGAACAGTTCATTAAGATGATGAATGAGAATTGACTGTTGTCTTTGGAAACATAATTTACTGATGTCTTTTATAAGAACAGTTTTAATGAAGTCGTCTAGGAGCAAATTCGCAGCAGTGATTCCAGGAATTTGATAAAGAAAATTAAAATAGGGCTGGGGAGGTAGTACAGTGGGTAGGGCATTTGCCTTGTACGCAGCCGACCCAGGTTAGATTTCCAGCATCCCATATGGTCCCCTGAACACTGCAAAAAGTAATTCCTGAGTGCAAAGCCAAGAGTAACTCCTGTGCATCACCGGGTGTGACCCAAAAATTAAAAAATAAATAAAGAAAATATAAAAAAGAAAATTAAGATAGATCTGATTTTTTTTTCTTTTGGGTCACATCTGGCAGTGCTCAGGGGTTACTCCTTGCTTTGCATTCAGGAATTACTTCTGGCTGTGCTCGGGGGACCATATGGGATGCTGGGAATTGAACCTGGGTTGGCCATGTGCAAGGCAAACGCCCTAGCCACTGTGCTATCACTCCAGCCCCAGATCTGATTTTTTTTAATGGAGT